AATAAAAATAAAGAATAACTTATACAAGTTGAAGTAGAAAAGTAAAGAATGACCTTGCATCATACTTGACACTTGATACTTGATACTTGCTAGTCTTTTTTTGTTTTTCTCATAGAAAATCTTGAAAGTTCTTATATTACAACCTGTAACAAATTGAAAACTTTTTCTAAATGATGGGTTTAAAACTTTTAGAGAATTTTGTTATGCCATAATTGTAATCATGTTATTGCTCAAATAGTTGAAATTTCTTTTGGATTACTACATTTTCTATTAATAATTTTCTTTTATTGGTTGTGGTATGAGGTTTTTGATTACCAAGTCTCTTGCCAACAAATAAGGGTTTCCCATGAAATCTTTTTAAGACATTTGATTCTACATTTTTCATCTAAAGTCAATACATAGAGAATTCATCTTTTGGCTCAAACTCAAAAATTTTGTATTTCAAAAAAAAATCACAAATTTTGTATGTAACTCATTTTTATAGATCTAAATGAATTCATTTTATTGGTAGGGCTTACACTAAAATGTTTTCATGACTTGTGTTTTAATGCCTATATAATTTCCACATATGGTACAAATGCATATGTGAGATTATATCATGGTAGGGCTTAAGTTAGGATTGTAAACATTGATTTTTATATACTAAAAAAATTTGTTTTATAAATGAGGCCCACGTGCAAAATGTATTTATGGTCCCAAATTTCCATGCTTATGTAGGTTCCACATGTGAAAGCTTAGTATTTTATTTGCTTATACTTGCTTTTATACAACTCAAACACACAAGTGCAAAATTATTTTTCCTCTTGACCATTTTTAAACAAATAAAATAAGTTTAAATACTAATGCAAAACTAAACCAGACTTGCACTACAACCAAACATAGCCTTAATGATTGGCTTTCTAAACTTTATAGGTGATTGAATAAAGAGGAATGGAAATAAAAATATACTACATGTCAATCTTATGTACATGATATCTTATTTAGGAAGCAAAAAGTAATGCAATACACACACATCATATTAGGGGTAAGCATTCAGTTTATTTGTTTAAAACCAAATTGAATAAATTGAAATTTTTAAAACCGAAATAAAAAAATGAAAACGAACCAAAACCGAATTACAATAAAACCGAAATAACTGAACCAAAATTTTTGCTTTGGTTTTTGGTTATTTCAGTTAAAAAAAATTAATTAATATATAATATTATATTTTATAGCCTATAATATATATATTATTATAATATATGTTATGAAATTTAATTTCATTATAATATATTAATATATAAATATATAGTATATTATATATTAAATATTGTATATTGTATATTATATAATGAATTTTAGTTAATTCAGTTTTTTGGTTAACTGAATTTCTAAATCTGAAAATCGAAACCGAAAACAGAAATTAGCCAAAACCAAAATTTTTGGTTCAGTAATTTGATTTTAACTGAATAATGCTCACCGCTACATCATACTAGATCCCATAACTTAGTCTTTAAGAATACCAACATATCTTAAGAAAGACCTTGGGAATATTTATAACGAGGGCATCTAATAATGAGCCTCAAAGTCATAATACATTACTTGATATTGCACCTTTTCTTTTGACCTTATCATTGAGGGTTCTTATGAGTTATGACCTAGGTCTTGGAAATGTAAGGCTCGCATTCATCGTTAAAGAGTCACTTAATAATTCCTAAAAAGCAAACTTGTTGATGGGTCATGCCAAGTTGGGTTTGGGTCAGTGCTTACCTCTTTATTAATACAAAATATCTAGGCTTGAGCCCGAGCTTGACCCAACCATCAAGCTTAGATTTTAAGCTCAAGTCTAGTTTTTATATAAAAAGTCATACCTGCAATGTAATTTAATAAATTAATATATATTTATATATTATTAATATATGAATATATGAAATATTATCGAGTCGAGCTTGTTTGAAAATACCCAAGCTCAACTCAAAAAATAGTTGGGCTTGATAATGACAACTCGAGCCCATGCCTAAAACTTTACCCACGCTTGATAAAGAATGGGTTGGGCTAGGCAAGCCCGTCAGGCTACCTGATCCATTAACAAATCTATTGAGAAGGAAGATGTGCTCAAAGTTGTTATGATGCATAAATGAGAATAGTAATCGTAAGACTAGATGTTTGATCAAATACTTGAGAGTAGCATCAAATTCTCTCAAACAAATTACTTTTTTTGTGATAGGATACTCCTATGCATGTCTAAACTTAATATAGATGGAGCAACTAAAGTCTAGCCAGGTCCAACCACTAAGCGCATGTTTAATTTTGAGATCATCTGGGTAGATGGTTGGGTGGATATTTGATAGAGATTGGATATACCACAAATGATACTGTTGAACTACCCATTCATTAGGGGTGTTCATGGGTCAGGTTGGGTCGTTTTGAGTCATTTTTTTCAACCGACCCAACCTAGTTGGTTTACTTATTAACTAAACCGAAATCGGCTGGCCTTGAAGCAAAACCAACCCAAACATGAAGGGTTGGTTTAGGTTGGTTTATCGGTTTAGTCGGGTTTTATATATTTTTTAACTAAAATATCTATTTCTAAGTATCTATTTATATTCAAGTTTATTTCTTTTTAGTTTCTATACAAAATAAAAATATATATTTAAATCGATTAGTTTTTATGCAAAACTGAGTTTTTTGTCAATATATATTTAAATTTATACAAAACTAAACTAAATATTGTATCATTGTATTATATTTGTATTGGTTTTACGTTTTTAGTTTTTATCATAAATAACCAATTTTTTTTCAAAGTTCAAACAAAACACAAATAAAATATATCAACATTTAACATATAGGGTAAGGACTAATTAATAATTACTTAAACATTTAGGATCAGTTCGGTTCAATTTGGTTTCGGTTTTCATAAGTTGTCAGTTTATTCTCTCATACAAACTGAAACTGACCGGTGGTTTTAAAAAACCAACCAAGTCGGATTGGGTTGGGTCAATTTGGTCAGTTTAACATTTAATATGAACACCCCTATCGTTCATATAACTGTGGCCAAATGATACAAGAATATCATCATTTAACTGGAGTCTCTATACACCATCACAACTCTATGTCTTTGACAATGTCCTAAATGGAGCATGGATGTCTTATTTGATGATACTTTGCTTGTTCTGGATTCATGCCAACCAGTCATCCTAAAACATTGCCATAGGAAGGCGAATAGGTATGTAGACAAACTAGCCAACTTAGCTTTCCATATTGGGTATTGTTTATTTTTCGGATCCTGATGTAATTCAAATCATATGGCAGGATGTTTCTTCTGTATAGGTGTATGACATAGATGTCCTAATATGCAACTATTGTATATATGTTGAAAAAAAAATTATAATATTTGTATTTGTGCTCTTCCCTAACCAAGCCTAAAGTTTGATTCATATTTGTTTATTAATGATATCGGTTATTCATTTTTTGCTTCTTTTGCTTAAAAAAAAGTTGAATGCCAAATTTAGTATCAATTTATTGTCTAAACTACCTTGGAGAATCATCCTTTTTGGTGAATGGATGGAAATATCCAAGTCTACACCTCTAGGGTAGGCCGTGAACAAACTCCAAAGGTTTGAAATCCAATCCAATTATCTCAGACTCATATGATATTTGCATAGTCAGATCGAATCTTATGATATAAATCCAACTAATGATTAGATTGGATCCGAGTTAACCCATCCTATTTGATTAAAATTCGAATAAAATTATATTATAATATGTATTGATTTTAATATATAAAATTTATATTATTATATTAAAAATATAATTTTATATATTATATTATTTATAAGTTTATATATATAAGTTAAAAATTAATTAACATTTTTTGTTTTTACTTTATTTTAAAAATATGAAATATAATTGGATTTTTTTTACTACGGGGGAATTGGATTAAATTTAAATATGAATATGATCCACTTATTGTCCTATCCTTTTCTTTTTTCTTCTTTCATGAGGCTACAAATGGGTAGACTTGTTCATGGGCCGGCCCATTTTAAGTCGGGCTTAGACATAATTTTAGGCTTTTGGGCTCGGGCTTTCTCAAAAAAGCCTGGCCTGAGCCTGGGTCCGACTTGATAATATATATTAAATAATAAGAAATATATTTTATTTAATATATGTATATATATACACAATATTTTTCTTTGTTCCTCTTCTATCTTACCAAGTAATAGTTAGATCTTTTATTATTTTAGGGTTTTAAGGATTTTAATATAAATGAAACATTTTTTTGTTGAATAAAAAAAAAAAATTATGTTTTCAAAGAGATTGCTTAAGCCAGTTTTCAGGCTCAAGACTTGGGCCTGGTGGTTAGATCGAGCTTGGACTCGAACCTGAATATATTCCATTAAATACATAAACAAAACCCGGCCTATGAACAGGTCTACAAATGGAGTAACCATATAGGTGTAACGTTGGTTGTGCCGACTTACTTTTGCAGACTAGGGCTATGCCATGCCGGCACGCGGGCCTTAGCAGGCCGTGCCTGCCATTATAACGGGCCATGTCGTATGGGGCTGTGGTTCATACCGCACGGCCCAATTCTTCGTGAATCGTGATGTGTTATGACAACCCCGAGTCGTGCTGGGCCGGCCGGCCCACTTTACGGTTCTAGATAATCCTCATACCCTGATAGGCTGATACCCATAGCCCATAACCCCCCATCCAGAATCCGTACCCTAATCCCTAAACCGTGGTGGAGCGCTGGCGGGCACGGCGCACTTTAGCTAACCCTCACCCATCCCAAAGCTTGGTGGCGGCAGAATTTGATCCCACGTCTCGGCTACAAACAGTTCCCTACACACTTCTGTGTCCTGTTTCCTTCTCTCAAGGCTTTCTTGTCATGGAGCACAGTGCATACCATTATGATTATATGTTATTCTCAACTTTGGCCTTTGTATTTTAGTGTTGTGAGCCCCACCCATTGCGTTCTTTTGTTCTTCTCCTCCGCTCTCTTATTACATTGGCCGCCGCTGCTTTAATCTGCCTCAAGAATAATTGAAGAGATGGTCCAGACAAAAGTATGTTTTGTTTTTTTAAAGAAAAATTCTGAATGTATTAACAATTTCACATAAAGAATCTCAATCAAAGAACAAATTATGGGAAGTTGTTTATTCACTGTTTATAGGGTTCTGAGCTTTTTCAATGGAAGTTGATGGTTGATCGGATTTCCAAGTAGAAAACCGATATGGGTTTTGAGCTCTGGATCTGTTAAAGTAGAGGGAATTGGGTCTATTACCAGATGGGTCATGAATCCTTTTGTCGCTGATCGAGGGTTTGGTCGAATTGGGTTTCTGGGTAAAGGAGATTAAAGTGATTCTTCTTCTTTACCAAAAAAAAAGTGATTTTTGTTGTTGCTGAATCTTGGTGTTGTCTGCCATGGAGAAGCAGAAGAGCTTCCGAGGAATCATGGAGAAACAGAAGAGCTTCCGGGGGTTGATCGAGAAACAGCTCAGCTTCCGAGGGGTGATGGAAAAACAGAAGAGCTTTCGCATAGCCATGGAGAAGCAGCAAAGCTTTCACGAGCAAAGGAAGAGCAAGGAGTCGCCTGGAAAAAGGGGAGATTCGCCATTTCATCTGGCTGCTCGAGTGGGGAACTTGACCAAGGTTAGAGAATTTCTTCAAGAATGTGACAGCGGTAATCTGAAGGATTTGCTGTCAAAGAAGAACTTTAATGGGGAGACTGCCCTCTATGCTGCAGCGGAGAATGGTCACGCCGAAGTTGTTAGCGAGCTCTTGAAGTATCTAGACCTTGAAACTGCATCTCTCCCAGCCAATAACTGTCTCGATTCATTCCATGTTGCAGCCAAGCAGGGTCATGTTGGTAAGAATTCGCTCTGCTCTTTCTGTTCTTTATTTTAAATTTCTTCTGCCTTTACTTTCAAGGAAGTTGCTTTATTTCGGTTTTAGTTTCCTCTGGTTCCCCTACCTATCTTTTGGTTGCTGCATGGTTTGCAAATTTTTAATTGAGTTGAAGAATTGGGTAAGATCATTGTGCTGTTTTTTGTTTTTTAATCTTTTCTATTTTATACCAAGTCCACAAGTTTTGATGCCACATAATTGGACTTTGATGGTGAATCTTGAAATTTGCTGGTCCACGAAGGCCTATGATGTGTCACTGAATGCATCTTCTGGTTTTACCTGGTTTGCTAAGTCACTTTTTGTTCTCTTATCTTTCCAGCTCTAAACCAAATAGCAAAGTTTGAACCTCTTGACAAGAATGATCAAAGGCCTGCATATCCAACAAGCACCCGTTTTCCTAATGAGGATTGAGCTAAAAGATTTCCTTCTTTGTTGTTTATTCCATTTTGGATGACATAATAAAAGCAAAAGCAATTGCCTTTATTATAACATCTGAAATCATAGAAGAGTTGGGAAGGCAATCAAGGTAATGCTACCTCCCAGAGATAACTCAATTCCTTCAAAGGGGCACTTGTCCTTTTGTTTACCATGACTGAGGATGGGTAACACTGGAAACAGATCTCCCTTGTCATCATCATCATCATCAAATTATCTAAGCCTCCCAACTATATGGGGTCAGTTACATGAATCCTGGTAGCAACTATCTATCAATCTTGTTCAATAACTATAAAGCTGCACATGAGGTTCTCCTCATGTTTAATCACTAAATCACTATTCTTCTATGAAGCATGATGGTTTCAACATCTTTGGGTAACAACTCTATCAATCTTCTCGTGGTATGAGGTTCTCATTATCCTAGTTGGCCTACTCAAAGGTCTTCCTATACTAGGGTGGATCTTATCTGAAAGACCTTTTACCCAACTCAATGAACTCTCTACACTTTGGCCAAGCAAGGGGTAAATAGGGTACAGCTGTTCTGGATTCAGTTGCGATATTTTTTCTTCTTTTTTGGGTGAGGTAATTTTTTTTGATCAGCAACACAAAAAAAAATCATTAATTATGAGAAAAACATGATTGCAACAAGAAGTTGTGAAATGAACCAGCTATAGAAGCTGTCTCAGTTTAGTACTACATTTGAGCCCAAAACATGTGTTCTATGTACCCCTTGCTTGGCTAAGCTATCTGCCAAACTATTAGCAGTCCTCCTCACCCATTTCACTTGGATTAACATGTCCTGTGACAGCCATTTGAATTTTCTGAAATCATTTCTTAAATGCCATGCCACCCCCTCCCCTTTTGCCAGCCACTTAACTACAGTTTTAGAGTCTCCCTCAATAATCAGCCTACTAATACCCATTTCTTTTGCCTCCTCAACCCCAAAAACTGCAGCCAAAAACTCTGATATTGCCACATCACCTTGCTCCACAGGGCCAGAGTATAAAGCAATTATGTTCCCCTCTTCATCCCTAATGAGGGACTTAGGTTACCCAAACAGCTCCCATCAAAATTCAGTTTCTTCCAACCATTTATTGGGGGAGACCAAACCTCAACAAATCTTTGTCTTGTAGTTGAGGATGCAACAATGATACCCCAAGCTCTGAAGAAATCTTCAATCTTGAAATCCAAAAACAGCTTCAAACTTTTTGTCCAATGTGCTACTCTCAATGTTATAGTTTCAACCAAGGCTTCCTTGCTTCGTTCCTTCTCTTCAAATATTCTTGCATTTCTTTCCTCCCACACAATCCAAATTAGTGCTGCTCTAGTGCATCTCCACAAGGTCCTACCCCTCTTTCTTGTACAACTAATTCTAGTAGGGCTAAACAAACCCTCCAACATATCAAGAGAAGACCAACTGCATCCAAAGAGAGAAGTAAACCAATCCCACAGAAAGCTAATAAAAGGGCTAGAGATAAGAAGATGAAATACAGTCTCACCATTCAACTTGCAAAGAACACGCCAGTTGGGGGACAAACACCAATTTGGTCTCTTCCCTTTGAAGTAAATCAAAGGTATTAATGCTTCCATGAAGCACTTCCTAATAGAAGGCACTGATTTTAGGGGGAATGGGAGAACACCAAATTTCCTTGACTGGGAAAGAAGAGGTGGCAACCAGAGAATGAGAGGACTTACAAGCAAGGTTCAAAATTTCACAACTTATTGGGCTGTATCGGCCGAACGTATCGTTCCGACAAGAGCCCGATATGCGGAATGTGTAGAAATTGTCTGTTCCGTTTCTTTTCATATGTATCACATCGATACAGGCTCGTATCTGGTTGTTTTGGCTCTGTATCGGTCGATACGGGCCTGAAACAACCCGATACACTTGATTTTTTTCGGGTGACCTTCATTAATTAATCTCTTTAATTACTTCTATATTTAATTCTAACTTTTCTTTCATTAATTAGTCAATTACTCCTGCTTTAAATTTAAATTTGAATTTAGCGCCTAATTCAAAGTCTCTTATTAATTCCGCTAATTAATGATCCGGTCTCATTAATTTGATTTTGTTAGTATAAAAACTACAGACTTTAAACAATGGCAAGATTCAAACCAACTAAGTTTTAACAACCATAAGTCACCACTAGGCCATGCCCATTTGTTTGTTATGGATGTATGCATTATTATTTTTAAGTAAATTTTCTCTTTTCTTAATGGATATTTATTAATAAATGCTAGAATTAATTATTAAAATTTATGTACTAATAAATATTAATATAAATTGATGTACACACATAACATTTATGTTGGTTATTTGAAAATTGATGTATACACATTCATATTTTAGTTTTTTTTTTCTCACATTTTATTTATTCCGTCATTTTTCAACAGTTATTAATTGCAATTATTTACAATTAAATGATTGTAAATATGGATTTTTACATTTAAATAACTTATTTACAATCATTTAAAACTTGTAATTATTGTTAGTAATATATTTTTTAGGATATATTTGAATTTCTTAACATATTTATACGTATCTTAATTTTTCGTCTGTATCTATGTGTATCCCAATACATCTCTTAAAATTGTCTTTCCGATACACCTTGCGTTTCCAATACTTTGAACCTTGCTTACAAGACAACTCCCTATCAGAATTAGGACCCCATACTCTAGAATTCGAGCCACCTTCACTCAAGAAAACTGAATTCAACAAGCTCAAAAGATCAGTCATCATAGAAAGTTCAGATTCTCTAAGGTTCCTAATGAAGCCAAAATTCCAATTCAATCCTAAAGAGAAGTGATGTTGAGTAAGGAAGTCAGAAATGGGCCTACCCTTAAACCTGGAAATATCAAAAAGAGAAGGTAATTTAATACCCAAAGGGGTATCCCCAATCGACACATCCTCCCAAAACCTGATTTTTTGACCAGAGGCCAAGTCATACCTGATATGATTTAAGAAGGTAGGAAGAAAATCATGGATGGCCTTCCATGGGGCAGCCAAGGTAGCTATATAGAGACATCCGACATCCCATCCGTTGCTTGATATGCCATGAATACTTGCCACAACCTTGTGCCATAACTTCTCATTTTCATTAGGAAACATCCATAACCATTTGTTGAGTAAAGCATGATTCTTTATCTTAACATTACCAATTCCCAACCCACCTTTTGTTTTCAATTTCACCACCTTTTCCCATTTGACCAAGTGATCCTTCTTTTTCCCCCCACCTCCCAAAGAAAATCCCTCATGAGTTTTTCAATTTTCCTCACTACCTACTGTGGCATCCTAAACACTGACATGTAGTACACTGTAAGGTTTATTAAGGTAGGCTTAATAAGGGTTAACCTCCCCCCATCGAAATGTAGTTCCTCTTCCACCCAGCTAATATCTTCTCAACCCTTTCCACCATTGGGGCCCAAAAACTAGCTGATCTAGGGTTATCACCTAGAGGTAAGCCTAAGTATTTCATAGGCCACTCACCTTTCTCACAACCTAAGGAGTCTGCCAAGCTCCTCAAAAGTTCCTCATCGATATTGGTTCCAACCATTAAGCTCTTCAACTAGCTAATCCTTAAATTAGACAGTTTCTCAAATAGTTACACCACCAACTTCAAGTTTTCCACCCCCTCTCTACAATCTCCATCACAAAAAATCAAAATATTTTTTTTTTCCAAAGATACAAAAAAAAAAAGTTGCAGGTGAGTGATCAAAATATTCTCTCTCCCCATGGATCAACCCCTAAACAGTTGCAGGCAATTTTCTCTTGAAATCAATTTGCTTAGTACTTTAGCCACCAAAGTGAATAGAAAAGGAGAGAGAGAGAGGATCACCTTGTCTGAGTCCCCGAAAGCCCTCAAAGAAATCATACACTGTCCCATTAACAATGGCTGAGTAGTGAGTAGATTGCAAGCAATCCTTAATCCATTTTCACAACTCTCCAAATCCACACCTCCTCATAATATCAAATAAGAAGTTCCAGTCCACCAAGTCATAGGCTTTTTCCAAGTCCAATTTGATAGCCACTCCCCTTCTCTTTAATCTTTTTTGAGCCTCCACACATTCATTAGCAATAAGGATTTAGTCAATGATCTGCCTGTCCTGCACAAAGGCCCCTTGAGATTGTGAAATCAATGGGGGGATTACTTTCTTAATCCTCAGAGACAACACTTTTGCTATAACCTTGTGATTAGGCTGATAGGTCTAAAGTCTTTGGGTCGTATATCATTGTTCTTCTTTGGTATCAACGCTAAAAAAGTAGAATTCATCCCCTCCATTGATTACCCCCCTTCTATGGAATTCACAGAAAACTCTGAGAAGATCATCTTTAATTATATCCCAACAATCTTGATTGAATGCCATGGTGAATCCATCAGGCCCGGGGCTTTTGATCTATTCATAGGGAAAACTGCTTCCTTGATCTCTTCCTCTTCAAACATTTTCTCCAAAAAGTGCACCTGATCCTCCCCCAAAGTCTCCCACTCCAACCCTTCAACCAACCACTTTTTTTTTTAAAGAGTAAAA